ATTCAACAACAACAACAACAACAACCAACAACAACAGCGACAACGGCAACAACAACCACAAGAACAACAACAACATCAACAACAACAACCACCACCAACAACAGCAACAATAACAACAACAGCAACAACAGCACCAAACACAATCATCAACAACAACATCAACAACACGGCATCAACGCCTATGTACGCCCCTCTCCCCAGGTGCACAGGGGTCGGGTCACTCTATTCGCATGACCGGACTCCGGTGCCTCTCCCCGCCCACGAGGGGGGGAAGGGGGGCGGCCAGCAGCCAGCAACCAGCATCCAGCACTGATACAAACAACGAACCACCATTGGAATCCATGTGCGGGTCAACTCGGCCCTGCCTTCGCCAAGCGCTCGCACGCTGGCGAAGCGACGCCGCTGGTTGCCTCCTCTACTAGGATCCTACCAGAGATGGATGGAACTCTAATGCGATCCTATCAATAATGGATCGAGCTCTAATATGATATCATTACACATGGATGGGGATCTAATAAGACCCAAGTAAAAACGAATGGAGCTCTGACAGGATCCTGTTAGGTATGGATGGAGATTCTATTAGATATGATTAGAAAAGGATAGAGCGTTGATGGGATCCGATTCCGGATGGATGGAGCTCGAATGAGACCGTATGAAATATGAATAAAATTCTAATGGAATCGGCTCTAGGATGGACGGAGCTCGAAGAAAATCCTGTTAGAGATGGACGGAGCTCTCATAAGATCCGATTAGAGATGGATGGAACTCTGATACGATCCGCTTGCTCATGGATTAAGCTCGAAGGCGATCCCATTGGAGATGGATGGAACTCTACTCGGATCGTATGTGGAAATTACCAAAACACGGATAGGATCCCATTACAAATTGATGTAGCTCTAATAGGATTATATTAGATATGGGCGGAGTTCTCAAGGATCCTACTGCGAACGGACGCAGCCCGAATAGGATCCTACTAGGGATGAAAAGGGTTCGACTGAGATCATATTAGGGACGGATGGAACTTTAATAAGATCCGGTTGGGGATGGATGGAGGTCTGGTAAGAGCCAATCAAAGATGGGCGGAACTCCTACTAGGATCCGATCCGACATGGACGGACCCCAGACAGGATCCGATTAGGGATGGATGGAGCTCGAACATGATCCGATTGAAGATGGATGGAGCTCTAGTGGGATCCCATTAGATATGGATGGAGCTCTAGTACACTCTTAGTAGGAATGGATGGAGAACATCGAATTAGGGATGGATGGGGTTCCAACAGGACCCGATTAAGGATGGACGGAGTTCGGTCAGGATCATATCAGGGATGGATGGAGCTCGATTAGGATCATTTCAGGTATGGGCGGAACTCCTAATAGGATCCGATTAGAGACGGATGGAGCTCGAATAAAATCAGATTAGAGATGTATGGGTCCGACTACGATCCGATTGAGAATGGATGGAGCTCGACTAAGATCCGGTTAGGGATGGACGGAGCCCGAAGAGGATCCTATTCTGGATGGGTGGAGCTCTATGGGGATCCGATCGGAAATGATTGGAGCTCCTATTAGGGATGGATGGGTCCCGATTAGGCAGGGATGGATGGAGCTCGAATAGTCTCCTCTATACGGGTGGATGGAGCTCGTATAGGATGCAAACCAGGATGGACGGAGCTCGGAACAAATCCAATTTGGGACGGATGGAGCTCGAATAAGATACGAAGAATACTACTAGCGTTGGTACATGTAAACATGAAAATAGAATTAATACTGATACTGATAATGTTAGTAGTAGTAATGATAATAACTAGAATAGTAGCAGTAGTAGAAGCAGCAGTGGTAGTAGTAGTAGTAGTAGTAGTAGTAGTAGTAGTAGTAGTAGTAGTAGTAGTAGTAGTAGTAGTAGTAGTAGTGGTAGTAGTAGTAATAGTAGTAGTAGTAGTAGAAGTAGTAGTAGTAGTAGTAGTAGTAGTAATAGCAATAGTAGTAGTAATAATGAAGTAATACTAATAATAGCAATGCTGGTAAGTGTAAGGAGGCCCCAGGCGAGAGCGCGATTCCTGAGTAAGCTGCGAGAAAATCTCAAGCGGGTGCTGGGGTCCTGGCTAAATTCTTGGGAAATATCAAGCGGGAGCCGTTGTCGTTGTCATCCAAGGGCCAACAACCCAGCTTGACCCGAGTGACTTTCCCTGATAAAAATCCGGGTGCGAGCCCCGGGGGAAGCACTTGAACTGAAAAAACAATGGTCACCAGAGGGGGAGGACCAACTATAATTTTTCTTCAGTAGTGAGAGTTCAACAACAACAACAACAACAACAACAACAACAACAACAATCAGTATAAGACTGTTCGCTCTTACTTGCCCGTGTGTCATTCAAAACGAGTTCCCCACACCCTCGATACCCACCCTTTTTGTCTTCGATCACATCCCCTCTGGGGAGATTCATTCTCTTTGCGTGGGGCGGCGGGCTTAGACAGGCGGGCAAGCCTGAACGGGCGGACAATCCTTCGTGGGCGCACATGTGCCCGCCATTGGAATTGGCGTGGGCCGTGCAAAAAGAGGAGGGGGAGAACGAGGGAGAGCGGGAGGAAGGGAGGGGGAGGGACAAGGAAGAGGGAAAACGCCAGGAGAGAAGGAGCGAAGAGGGGGGCGGTTGATTAGAGACAGAGGGAGAGAGAGAAGAGAGAGAGAGAGAGGAAATAAAAACAAGAAAGGTAGAGATAGAGAGAGAGTGAGGGGAGAGAGAGAGAGAGAGAAAGAGAGAGAGAGAGAGAAACAAAAAAAGAAAGAAAGAAAGAGGGAGGGAGAAGGCAGGAGAGGGGAGGGAGAAGGGAGGAGGGAGAGGAGGGAGAGGGGATAGGGCAGAGAGGCATAAGGATGAGGGAAGAGAGGAGGGAAAGAGAAGGGAGGAGAGGAGGGAGGAGGAGGGAGGAGGGAGGAGGGAGAGGAAGGAGGAGCAGGAAGGTAAGAGCGTGAACGTTCGAGGAAGTCCTAGGCGAAAGCGCCGTTCCTGAAGGAAGTCTCGTGCGGGAGCCCACGACGGGCGGGCGATCCCATGACGGGCGGGTCGAGCGGGTGAGTATGGCTAGAGCGCGATTCCTAAGTAAATTGTGACGGCGTCTTTGGCGCAGCGTGTTTCCTGAGCGTCGAAAGCGCGATTTCTGAATAAATTGCACGGAAGTCACAGGCGAGAGCGCAATCCCTGAATAAAATGTGAAGGGGTTCTCTGGCGGGAGTGGGTGTCTTGACTGAATTGCGAGGAAAATTTGATTCAATTGCGAGGAAGTCTCAAGCGGGAGCGCCGTTCCTGAGTAAATTGTGAGGAAGTCTCAGATGGGAGCGGGGGTCCTGACTAAACTGCGAGAAAGTCACAAGCGGGAGCACCGATCCTGAGTAAATTGTGAGGAATTCTCAAGCCGGAGCGGGGATTCTGAGTAAATTTGAAGGAAGTCTCAGGCGGGAGCCGTTGTTGTTGTAATCTGGGGCGCAGTTTGAGCATCAAGACTTTCCTTGTCAAAAAACAGGGTGCGAGCATCGAGGGGCACACTTTGATTAAGAAAAACAGTCTGCACCGGTGAGGGGGGATCAACAATACTTATTATTCTTCAGAAATGAAAGTTCAACAACAACAGCAACAACAACATAAGAATAACGACAACAAGGCACGTTGTAGAGCAACAGGAACCACGTCGACGGCCGCGACGTGATTTGGAAAGGCGTCGTGGAATGCAGCCCTGGAGGCGCCGTAGGTCACATGGGGGTCGGCAGATGTGGCGTGAAACGGTCAAATCGAAGAGGAACGTGTTTCCCATCAATCCTGTGGTGTTTAGTTGTTGTTTGAAGAGAGGGCCTCGCGTCTCGCCTCCCGCTGCCCCCCCTCCCTCCTCCATCCCCCAATATCTCTACCGGTGCTCATTTCAGCACACCCCTCAAACGTTTCGAAGCGCTCCACCGAAGGCCTCAGTGGCAGGGTTCGCATGCCTGGTCCACGCCATGTCAGTGCACCCCTCGCAGGCTTCGTAGCCCCGTAGGGAGCTCCAACTAAGGCCCAAGCGGCAGGGTTCGCATGCCTGGTCCACACCATGTCGGCACACCTCTCACACGCTTCGTGGCTCCACAGCGAGCTCCACCCCAGGCGCCAGTGGCTGCGTTCGCATGCCTGGTCGATCGGCGCACCCCTCACAGGCTTCGTGGCCCCATAGAGAGCGTCACCGAAGGCCCCGTTGGCTATTCTCGCATGCTTTCTCCACACCACTCCGGCGCACCCCTCTCACGCTTCGTGGCCCCATAGGGAGCTCCACCTGGAGCCCCAGATCCAGGAATTGCATGCGTGATCGCGCCCATTTCAGCTCAACTCTCGCACGCTTCGCGGCCCCATATGGAGCTCCACCGAAGGCTCCAGTGGCAGGACTCGCATACGTGACCGCGCCCATTTCGGCACACACACACACCTCACACGTTCCGTGGCCCCACAGGGAACTCCACCGAACGCCCCAATGGCAGGACTCGAAAACGTGACCGCGCCCATTTTGGCGCACCTCTCAAACGTTCCGTGGCCCCATGGGGAGCTCCACTGGAGGCCCCGCCGCATGCTGCCCCCCAGGGCCGCACTGACAGACGCGCAGATCAGCCGCAACGGGTTGCACTCAGGTGTAACCCGTCACGGCCGACCTCAGCGACCCCACCAGCAACGTCGCTCCGTCCTTCCCACGCATGCCTCTGTCCTTTTTGTCCTGGCCCCATTACCTTAGGCCCCGCCTGTTCTGTGGCACTCGCAGCTGCATACGGCTGGGTCCTTCGCCAAGCTCTTTGATACGCCCCCGAGCCGCGCTACACCAGATAGCGCGCGCCCCCCTCCAGCCCAACCTTTATCCTCTCGCAAGACGGCGACGAGACGCGGGCGGCCTCGGCGCCGCAGAGAGGGGGAAGGCCGCGGCCCACGCGGCCGCCCGCCGCCTTCGAGCAGGCCGGCCCTCATCTACGAAGGTGCGCCTGCGAACCCTCAACCAGTGGTCTTCCAGCCAGACACCGCGACCTTGTCGTGCGCGGCCTCCCCCGCTTGGCCCAAGTCGCACGTGTCCGCTCCCGTTCGGGCTGTCAAAAACGCGGTTCTCTTCGTCTTCTGGTTCTTCGCAGGGAGGGCGAACCAGAACCCGCTGTCCACAGAAGAATCCTCCTGCAGACACCCAATGTTTGGAAGACCTGCACGTGCCTGGAGAAACACGTCTGGTCCGGTCAGACCCAGCTGACTGCGGCCGTACATGTTGAGGAGGTGTGGGAAGCTGACGATGATCCGGTGCCTGCCAGTCAGCCGTTTCAAGTCGGAGATCGCCTTGTTGTACTCGTTACTGAGGATGCCGATGTAAAGGTTCATCAGCACCCCGAACCCCAGGGCCATGGCAAGGCAGAAGAAAGGCAATTCGTTCGTCATCGCAGTCTCGGTCGCCGCCGTCTTCGGCATGCTTCCGGTGTGGAATGACTTGGCGGTCCTGTTAAAGGTGAAGAAGATGCTCCTCCCTCTGCCCTCGATGACATCCTCGTCGAAGTCCCCCATAAGGGTCATCCTTTGCACGATGTAGAGCGCCTGCTTCAAGTCAACGAGAATGCCAGTGTTGCCGTTGCTGAACATGTCTGGCCCAGGCACCTCGTTGAACTCCCAGCTCAGCCTCGGAAGCGAGATGAATGAAAACAGGACGCCGAATATGGCGAGCACCAGGATGCCCAGGAAGGACGTGGAGGCTTTGCTCATGAGAGCGTGCCAGGCAGGCAGAACGGAGTCTTTGAAGCAATCAAGGGTCATAAACTGTAACTCGAGCTGCAAAAACTTGACAAATCCGCCGACCCTGTCGGCGTGCATGTGGAGGATGCGTCGTCGTCGTCGTCGTCGTCCTACTCCTCCTCCTCCTCGTCGCCGTCGCGGTCGTCGTCGCCACTCCCCGTCTTTTCCCTGAGTCCTTCACCTCCAACGTTCTAGCCGAAACGACAATGACAGACGTTGAGATTAAATCGAAAGAAGGCCCCTTCCCTTTGATCCCTTCCCCGCCCTGGGGGGGGTCCCAAGGGAGGTCCCCGGGGGGGTCCAGGGGGGGGTCCCGGAGGGGGGGTCCCAGGGATGTGGGGGGGGGGTTCTGGGTCAGAAAACCACCCCTCCGGAGAAAGGTTCCAGGGGAGGGGGGTCCCAATGGGGGTCCCGGGTCAGAAAACCACTCCTCTGGGGACATCCCGGGGCGTCGTCGTCGTCGTCGTCGCCGTCGTCGTCGTCGTGATCGTCATGGTCGTCGTCGGCGTCGTCGTGAAGGGTCGGCAGCACTAGCCGTAAGGCCTCTCCAATATTAAGGCGGCCAGTATCAGAGGGTGATGGTATATGAACGTGCTTCTGACATCTCCACCTATAAACCCGTCTTTCAATAGAGAGACTGCCACCACGAAGATGACGAATTCCAGAATTTGGTTCAAAATGCTAAACGGCTGCATCACAGGCCGGCAATGGTCAAACACCGTCTTGCATGACCACATCTCGAACACGAGCACTGTCAAATTGAAGACAGACAGAAATGCAAATACAAGTATGGTACCCCGGTTGGGGGTCATCAGCCGCTCGTCATGCGCAGCAACTGCTTGGTTCAATCGACTGTGAAAGCCGAGCCAGATCAGCTGGCAGAGCATGAAGCAGTCCACCGCTCGGCGTTGCAAGTATTTCCAGTACACCTTATTCCAGCAGACCTCAACCATCGCCAGCACCAGCGGGGTCTCGAAGACCTTCGTGTCCTTCGACGAGTGCAGCGCGAACAAGAAGTGCAGGAACGAGCGCGGCTCAAAGTACAGGCCGCACCAATAAATGTCCACCTTAATGTTGCTATGGCGGCGGAAGCAGATCGGGCCCATGCCAGTTTCCTTGTTGTACTTCGGCGCGACGTCCTCCAGCGGCCTCACGGGTCCGGCCTTCCACTGCCTCCTCGTCCAGCTCGCCACGTCGTGCCAGTCATCCTCGGCGAATGAGCCGCCAGAAATGCGCATCGTCGAAAAATGCTGCACCTCTCGGCCTCGCAGCATGTGCTTGTTGGTGATCTTCACGCACATCACCTCGATCAGCCTGTGGAAGTCGGGGCCAAGGATCCCGCTCATATGGTCAAATCTCCTGTCCTGCAGCCACGCTTTGCTTTCCGAGCGTGTTCGCAATCTCCCGATCCCTTCCCCTCTGCTCCAGAGGCTGAATCCCCTTGAAAGAGTGGGGGGTTCTGCAGACAGAGTCGAAGTGACCGTTCTAGCTTGCTGTAGCTTGCTCAAGGAGTCGACCTCGAGAATGTCGAACCATATCTGCTGGAGCTTGCGTAAGGAGTCCCACTCTAGAACCTCTCGGCTGTCGTGGAACTTCTTCTGCAGGGTCTCCATGTGCTTCACGTTCCTGAAGGCAAGTGTCTCCTCATTGTCGTCGTCCTCGCTCCCCTCGGTGGAGCTCGACCCCTCGCTCTCCTCGGTGGCGCTCGATCCCTCTGCTGCATCCTCCGGAGACAGCAGACACGTCCTCATCCCGCCAGCGCCAAAGGCCGCGCGGCGCAGCGAAAGCTTGAGCCAAAATGGTTGTGGAGGAACTCGAGGAGGAGGAGGAGGCGGAGGAGGAGGAGGGGAAGAGAGGGAGGAGGAGGAGGAGGAGCAGGAGGAGGAGGAGGAGGAGGAGGAGAAGAAGAGGAAAGAGGGAGGAGGAGGAGGATGAGGAGGAGGAGGAGAAGGAGTAGGAGGAGGAGAAGGGGGAGGGGGAGGAAGAGAAGAAGAAGCAAAAAGGAGAAGAAAGAGGAAAATCATACAAGATCATTGGACGTTTTCGGGGGGCGCGCTGGGATCGCCTGGAGGGCCTCGTCGAAAACGCCGCCGATCCGGCGTGTGAGTTTCTGAGAGCGTGGACTTGAGCTCGCTCAAACTTCGCTCTGCAGGGGGGGGGACGCTATTTCCGACGTCATTTCCGACGTTTTTCGGTACACGGTGATATTTCCGACGTCATTTCCGACGTTTTTCGGTACCCGGGGACAGGGGGGTATAGAAAACTCCACTTCCGGAGCCCCGACCGCCCAAGACAGCCCAAGAGGAAGCCAAGAGAGGCCCCAGAGGCCCCCTAGACAATGCAAGAAGGCCCCGAATCGCCGAAACATCGCTCGAACCGCCCAAGATGCCCCGAAGACAGTTCCAGAAACCTCCAAGACGTCCCCAGGATCCCTCACGACACTTCCCAAGAATGCCCAAAGACTGACAAATAGACCCATTCCGTTGGGAAAACGTACATTTTCGGCATATTCATTTCTTGGGTCTTCACAATGTCCAAGACGGCCCCAGAGCTCCCTAAGACACGCCAACAGGCCCCCAAGAGGGCTCCAAGACGGCCCCCGAAGGGCCCAAGACGGCCCCCGAAGCGCCACAAGACGACCCAAGTCCAGAGCCCAGACCGCACAAGACGGCCCGAGAAAACGCCAAGAGAGGCCCAAGAGGCCCCCTAGACGGTCCAAGAGGGCCCCGACTCGCCGAAACATCGCTCCAAGCCGCCCAAGATGCCCCCAAGACGGCTCCAGAAGCCTCCAAGACGTCCCCAGGATCCCCATCATCATTTCGCTCTCACCCCCCCCCGGATCGGCGGCACTGGCCGGAGGCCAGCCCAATAATACAAGATCATTGGGCGTTTTCGGGGGGCGCGCTGGGATCGCCTGGAGGGCCTCGTCGTCAACGCGCGAATCGCATGGACAGTCCGGTCGACACGCAACCCTGGAGAGGTCCCGGGATCGACTCTGACCTAGAGGAAAGAAGGAGCAAAGCAAACCTTGGATGCATCAGGGATGCTGCATGTACGGTAAATTCAAACTCGTGCGGCGTCGGCGCGCGCAAAAGTTTCGGACACCGCGTCCACCGCTCAATCTTGAACCGATCGCGGCCCCGATCATTCAAATTGAATTCCGTCGGGTCCTGTGGTGTTACCGTGCTCCTCGGTGTTTCCGCGTCGTTCGATCATGCGGAATTCAACCTTGAACGCCTTCGCTAGTGTCGCCAGCGCGCCATCGACGCATGAACCCACAACGACCAGAGTAAACCCTGGATGCATCAGCGCTGCTGCAAATAGACCCAAATCCCCTCCCAAGTACCTGCGGCTTTTCGCTCCACTGCGTACGGGAAGCACCCCCTTGAAAGACAGGAACAAACCTTGACGAGAACCCCATGTTCCGAGGATCTCCCGTCGATCCAGCTATCAGGGACACAACACAGAAAACCAGGAAAGTCATAGGGAAACCATATGAGAGCTGCGTGTTGGTGAGAAGCCGCCTTCCATCTGCCGCACAACTCAAATGTGCCGCCACAGCCATGCAACAGATCAAACACGCCCATCTGCTGTCAAGGAGCCGGTCTCTCTCGGTGAACCTGTTCTACATGCTACAACTTTCCGAGATCAAACCTGAGGACGTCTCAAGTAACAGCCAAAGTCGAACAGGAGCGGGTCTCGTTCTGCAAACCCGTTGCGCAATGTTGCACGGATGGTCGGAAAACCTCTTGGGATCTCAATTGAGAGCGCAATAATGGGAAAAAAAACTCCCTCCATCTGTGTAGCCGCTGGGAGGGATGTAAGCAAATTCGCGCGGCGTTGAAAAGCGAACCGAATGCTGAAAACGATTCGACCCCCATCTGTGCAAAGTACCTGGGAATACTTAAGACGAGAGTGCGCGGTGCTTGAGCGAGAGAGGCAATTTGAAACCGATTCGCCCTTCAACGCTAAAGCGTCACCAAACATTTGAAAACAGCAATTTGCCCAGTAATGACCAAGTGGAGGATATCCGTAGTCGCAAGCATGCGATTTGATGATCATGTCGCTCATGTACTTATTCGTGTTGTACTTGTACGTTGCGCAATAATGGTCCCAGGTCATGCTTCGGGGTAGTGGGCCTTACGGTCGCCATGGCGAATATGTACACTAAGCGAAGCGTAGAAACAGGCCCGCACGCGCAGTGGGTGGCCCCAAGGAGGGAGGCCAGCCGCGCGCACACCTTTTAACCGAACGCAGAAACAACGATGCACGATCACATGTCGAAGCAGGCACCACCAACCTTCTGTTTGGAGGGGAAGGGGCGGCGCAGGATAAGGGGCGAGGGGGGCGTTGCTAATGACTCCCCCCGCGGCCGTCGACGCACAGGGACTCTGCGCGCCGATGGACATTAGCACGTTGGCCAACGCTCCGCGCTCCAGGCAGACTGCCCGGGGCGCAAGAGCGCACAGCACGGCGGGACGCGCGGGCCCGATGTCGGCAAGTCTGAGGGTTGCAAGCCGTCGCGCCACCCCAGGGCGCATGGGCCCCCACGGCGCCAAAGGCAGAAACGTTCAACGGCGCGCGCGGCAAGGATGGCACCCACTAGTGGCAGAGCCAGCAAGACAAACCAAAGCACGCCAACTTATTCCACAGTTACCGCCGACCCTCGCGCCGCGCCAGCGTGCCAGGACGCCCACCGCGGAGTGGCGAGTCGCCCTTCCTCACTTCCAGGACGCTCATCACATCGTGGTAATTCGCCCACCCTCAGCATGAGGATTCGCGCCAGCGATCATCCCAGCCCCACCGACTGCCCCAGCCACGCCAGTTAGACCAGCTGCCAGGGCCCCACCACGAGTTGTTCCACGACGACCACGGCGAACCCCCCTCCTGGCCCCGACGGGGCTCCTCGTCAGCGGTTGTCTCCCACATACCCCGCGTCGAGAAGCGCCGAGGCGGCGGGGGCCGCCGTTGACAATGCCCGATCACGGGCACGCAACTCCCACGGCGTCGGCGGGCGGTCG